AACTACAGGTGCAGTCCACCACACTCAGCTGTTTGAGTTTTTGTGTGACAGTGTCGCTTGCCAATAAAACCTGTATTTCTGTCAGGGAAACACAGGAAAAGATATTCTCATACATTGTGGAAATATGAACCATCACTGTATTTTTGAAAAGTAAACTCTATTAAAATTATGCATATTTATATATATAATCTATATTAAAACATATAGAATGTTTATCCACTGATCTAAAATCTCACCTCTAGATATTTATTCCACAGAAACACAACTCCTGGGGAATACAAGCATATGAACAGGAATTTGATTGCAGCATGTTTATAGTTGAAGAAAAGCTAAAGCTAATGCTCATCAGTAGGTGAATGGCCAGATAAATTATGGAATCTTCACACTCTGGAATATTACGTACTGTCAAAAATGAATCAGAGCCATATCCATTTATTTGGTGGGATTTTCTTGAAGTATTGTTGAATTTAAAAAGCAATATGCAGGACAGTGTATAGAATATGATCCCATTTTTATAAAACAATGATCAAAGATCTCTAATGCATGCATAAGTATATTGGCATACGATTTAAATGTGTCTGTCAATGATTACATGATTGTGGAGAAAACGTACGGAAGGTTGGGTACAAGAATGTGAAATATGGGCTACTTGGAGTGGGGCGGGGGCGGTGCAAGCTGATGAGGGTGGAGGGGAAAGAAAGGAGGGATCAAGCCCATCCTCTGCAACTCCCCTCCCCCCAAAATGAAAGAGCAGGGGCCTTTGGAATTGGACTCTTACACCCTGCAGCCTATCTAGCCCTCTGGCCCGCAATACTTGACTCCTGGGACCACCACCCCTTGGCAGTCCCTCCCACTGCACTATGTGTGGCCTTCCATGTTTTTCTCCATGATTCTAGAATGGGGCAGTAAGACACTGAAGGGCAGTGGGTTACCCATGGGGGCCACTTTCAGTGCATGAAAAAGGACCTCAGGGCTCAGAGTTCAGTCCCCACTCTCCACAGGCATCTTGGAAAATTCATGCGTGTGAGGGAAAAGGCTAAACAGAATATTAATTTGCTTCTTCTCTCAACTTCAGTCCTCCTTCAGGCTTAGCTTACAGATTATGTCCTCAGAGAGGACTCCTCTGAGTCCTGCCTCCACCTCCGTCATGTCTCCCTTTTATTATTACTCCTTTCATAGTGCTCATCACAGCTTGCCATTGTTTTTAATTTTTCCTGTCTGTGTTTAATGTGTATTGCCCCAATAAGCTGTAAGTGCCACAAGGGGAGGGACCTTGAGTGTGTAGCACCCTGTGTGGAACGCAGCGGGGCTCACTGGTTGCTTTCAATCATTCACTCACTCACGTAGTCTCTTTTTCATTGACTCACTCTTTGATTCATTTCTTTATTCACTTATTCCCTTATTCATTCCAAAAACATGTGCTATTGGCCAATGACTTGTCCCGATCTGAATCTTCTGCTTTCTAGGGTGGCTTTTTGGGAGGAGGTGGGAGCAGGGACATGACGGCAGAATTCTGGGAATGCACCACAACTAGGGAGAGCCTGGCTGGGTGAGTTGGAAGCTCTCCAGGGAAGGAGGAAAGGTTCCAGAAGGGTAGAAGTTCTGAGCGGAAGGAGCTGAAGGATCAGACAGGACAAAGTTGGACGAGATGGGGCGCAGGCTGGGCACAGGCAGACTCCTCTTACTCCCCACTTGCGCCGGGTCTTCCCGAAGCCAGGCTTTCGCTCCTGCCATTTGTTCTGCCTGCAAGAGCCTCTCCCCATCTCCACATGTGGAAATCCTACCCTTCCTTGCAGGGCTAGCCCAGATGTCCTAGAAGTCTCCCCTCGCTCCTCCAGCTGGAAGGGCTGCTCCCTGCTGCAAACAAACTCCCTGAGCACAAAATCTGGACCTCCCCCGTGGCACTGACCACTTCCTGGCCTGTGTGTAGTGTGACCCTCTCTCCGTTGGATTGTTCCCATGTATCCTGCACAGAGCAGATGCTAATGAATGAGCAGTGCTGTGAGCTGGGGCAGGGGCAGTAGTTGTGACCCCATTTTACAGATGGGGAAATGGAGGCACAGATCAGGGGCATGACTTGCCTTTGCTTCCACAGCCAACGAGTAGCAGAGCCTGGACTCAGGCCTGCGTTTCTGGTCCCAGAGGCCAGGCTCTTTCCAGAGCAGCTGGGTGGGAGGTGGGGTAGGGTGGGGTGGGGTGGGGTGGGTTGGGGTGGGAGCTGGGTCCTGAGAACCAGCAGGCCAGAGAGCTTTGGAGCTCGCATGGCCAAGTTCAGGAAAGCACAGCTGGGGAGGAGCCAAAGTATTTATTATGCTTGGTCTCCAGCTCCAAACAGAGCTGATGGATGGAGCCGCTGCGGTTCCTATAAACAGCTTGAGCCTCCTGCCCTCCACCTTCCCAGTTCTCAGCCACCACAGCCCCAACTGTTTCCAGTGAGATAGGGGGTGGGGGTGGGGGGGGCAAGGGAGGGGAAGGAGGAGACAAGCATGGGAGCAGGAGGGGCACAGGGAGGGACGAAGCTAAGGCAGCTAAGGAGGAAGCTGAAGGGGAACAGAGGGTGGTCAGAGAGGACTCTTCCTGCGCCTCCCCACTGGCCTCTGCGGCCTTACTGCCCGCACCCTGCACCCCCTCTGTGTCCCCTCTGTGTCCCTTGGGTGTATGTGAGAAGCCTAGTCACCCCGTTCTCTGTGTGAGGGCCTGTTGCAATCCCACAAGTTTGTAAGTCCTGGAGGGCAGGGGCCGTGCACTCAGGAAGCCTCTTCTGAACTCACAGGCCCTAGGCACACAGCAAGAACTCAGGGCAGGACCTCCCCCAGGAGCTCTTGGCCTGGCAGGGGGTCAGGTAGCCACCAATGCCACTGCTGAGGGTAGCCGGGCAGCTGGAGGAGCTGCTGAGAGCGCGCTGTGGGAGGAGGTGATGCGGGCAGGCGCTGGGTGAAAAGCAGGACAGCCTGGCGCTGGGCGGGGACAGGAGTGGCCATGCGGCCTAATGGTTGAGACGGCTGGCTCCGGAGGGGCACAGACCTGGGTTAAGTCTCAGTTTCTCTGAAGTGAACAATAGAAATGCCTTCGAAGATGGTTAGCGCTAAACACAACAATGCACATCCACTGGCAGCACAGCCTACCCAGCAGTGCCCGGCCATTGCCAGCTCAAGCACGCTGTGGGTGGCGGCGGGGAGAGGGGGCTGGAGGGTGGCAGGGCCCCGGCCTGTCGGGGGCAGGTGAGTGGCCCAAAGGACAAGGGCGCAGGACGGCAGGTCCCAGGTCCTGACCAGCACAGGGGCCCTGGGCAGGTGAGGAGCTGGTGGGTCCCGGCTGTGCTGGTGGAGCGAGCACACCAGCTCCCGGAGCTGGCACCTCGGGTGGGTCCACTGTGACAGGGAGCGGCCAGGTCCTCCCTGTCTCTAGAACTTGCTGACAGCTCGGGAAGCCGGATGCTCTGATGACCTAGTTGGCAGCTGCGTCCATGTTTGGCTGAAAACAGGAATTTCTGCCTCACTGGGGGTCTTGGCCAGGTAAGCAAACTCCCCTGTTTGCCAGGAAAAGGGGTCAGGAGCCTGGTGGGCTCCCTGCTGGGTGGGAGGCCCGAGCGGCTGCTGCCTTCCTCTTAGTCCTTGAGCACCACACGCCTCCCCACCCCAGCACACCCCATCAAACAGGCATTTGAAACTTCCCAGTGGAGAGCGGGAGACAGAGCAGGAATGGGGAGGTGAGAGGGCACAGGCCAGAGGAGAGGCTGGGCCGGCGCAATCTCCAGGAGGCAGAGCTGCCACACAGCCAGGCCAGGCCGCTGGCCTGAGGGGAAGGTCCAGGGCGCCTGGGGCCAGGGAGCTTGGGGGAGAAGCAGCTGAGCAGAGAGGGCTGGCACCTGCGGGTCTGGCTGTCTGGCTGCTGAGAAGAGGAGTGGGCCGCCAGGGGACAAGGCCTGGGGCTGCAACAAAACAAAACAAAACAAAAATGGCTCCTATCCCCTCCCCGCAGCCTCGCACCCCACACTGACCCCCAGTCCCATCCAGGAACCAGGACTGGTTGCTTTCATCTGCAGCCCAGCAGATCGCTAACTCAATTCTCCAACCCTCAGGGACCTTTCGCCCTTAGCGGGGGAGGCCTCTGGGTACCAGGGCTAGCCGCTCAGGAGGGTGGGGCTGGAGACAGGGACGCAGGCACTGTCATCAGAGCCGTGGGGTGGCTACAGCTATGAGGGCCGTGGCGTTCCCCAGAGAAGAGGGCCTGGGATGGAGTTCTGGTGATCACCATCAGAGACGGCCCAAGGAAGGCAAGCACAGAGCCCCGAAACAGGAGTGGATGGAGAGGCAGGAGACAGCTTTATGTGTGAGGTCACAGCCGCAGGGAAAGCATCCTGGGGGTGGTGCAGCGGGATGGTGGGGGAGTGGCCGCTGCGGGGCTCAGACAGAGGAGGTCTGGAAAGTGCGCTGAGTCTGGCAAAGAACACCAGGGAGCCCTGAGCAAGGGCAGCGTGGGCAGGGAGGGGCTGAGGCAGCCAGGCTGGGTTGAGAGTGGGGGGCGGCGAGGGAAACCACTTTTCCAGAAAGCTGCCTGTGAAGAGGGGGAGAAGGGTGACGTGGTTTAAGGGTCTTTCTGCTGTTTTTAAGATGGGCAAGACTTGTGTCCAACTGAAGTCTGAGAGGGAAAGGAGACAGGAGAGGAGTGAGAGAGGAAGGGGCTGGGGACCCATGAGGGGCACAGAGAAAGGAGGGTGTGTGGCCACAGGAGGACGGGAACCAACGACAGTCACAATCCTCTCAGCCTGGGGTGGGGAGCAGGTTGTCTGCTGAGCGAGAGGGGCAGCGGTGTGGCAGGGGTCGTGCTGGTGGCTGAGGCCCCGAGGTCCAGGGTGCGATGACCCAGAGCCTCTGTGTCCCCAGGGATTCACCAGGAGGATGGAAAGCCCGCAGTGGAAGGAGAGGGGACCACAGGGTTCAAGTGGACGCGATGATGCCGGTTGTCCTCGGCAAAGAGGAGGCTGGCGGGCCACACTGTTTCTCCAAAATTACTTTTAATACATTCAGGTGGGTTATACAAAGAGCTGGTCCCGAGGCCTGGGCTGTGGCCCGGCTTGTGGGAGTGACAGCAGCACCGTGTAGTGTTTTCAAAGTCGGGCGTGGGGGCCGACACCTTGGTGTGTGCAGTAGCATCTGTGGTCTGGTCCCAGCCAGGACTGGGTCCACCCTGCTGCCCACGCACCACTGTGGCCTAGTCCTGGCTCTGCCCATTGACTCTCCCTTAAAGCCTCTGGGTCTCGGTTTTCATATCTGTAAAATGGGTGGAGAGAGTATGGCACTTTCATTTTCTCACACATGACCAAGGGCCCTGAGCCAGACCGTGGGCCGAACACAGGTAAGACGATGAAGACAGTGACACAGGGTCTCAGGCTGGATCCAGGGCTTCCTTTCTTCTCAGACAGCTTCTGACTCCATGGTATAAGGGACAGGGAGTTATCTGGTGGGCCTTTCCACCTATTTCTTTTTCAGAAGAAAAAGAAATCCCTTCATGATGAGGAACAGAAAGAAAGTTTGGAGCCAGCTTCATCTTGTGACATGACAGGCAAGAGTGGACACCACTCAGGCCCACCCCCAAATAAGATCTGAATCTTCTTGTTTCAGTGGCTCCGCCACCAACTTGTGCAGTTCTCAGCAAGTCCCATTCTCTTCCTAAGCCTCAGTGGCCCTCTCTGTATAATGGGGAGATTGGACTCCAGGGTCTCAAACTCCAGGCTCTACTCCATAGACCAGAGGGAATGAGGAATGCAAGAGCAGGAAGAGAAACAGGAGAACCCACTCCAGTGTGCAAAGGGGGAATGAGGGAAACTGAGGCAAAGAGGGAGGGGGGAGGCCTGCAGCGTCCTGTATTCTCTGCCTGCCTGGGAGAGAGGAGAGAGTGGGTGTGCACAGCACGGGACACTCCCAGGCCCTGTTCAGGCCACGTGGGGCCACTTCCTGTCTACCTAACAGTCTGCAGCCCCCACAGTGGCAAAGCTTGGCCCCTAAGGACAGAAAGATGTGGATCCGAATCTCAGCTGTGGCATTTATTAGTTGTATGGCCCCAGAGCAAGACTTTTGGAGCCTTAGCTTCCTGTTTTGTAAAATAGGAATAAAATGCCAACCTCCAACGGCTGTCATATAGAGACAGACACAAGGCTTGGATTTTTGCATTGAAGCTGCCAAGCCGAGTGCAAAACAGAACCAGATATCTAAGTTCTAACGCTGGCTCAGCAGCCAGGGTGGGGCTGGAATGGGGAAAGAAGGGAGCTGGAGAGGGCGTTTAGGGCAGGATCGGGGTCAGGGTATGCTACCTGAGAGTGTCAGGTGGGGAGAGAGCCTGTCAGAGCAGGAAACGGAATGGCCCAGTGCTGGGCTGGAGCCCAGGGTGACAACCTCTTAACCAGCCCCTGCTGGAGCTGCCACAGCTCGACGAACAGCACTGGATCCAAGACACACTCATGCGGCTCCAGTTCTCTCTTCCAGTCACAAGCCCTTCGAGAGGCTGAAAGTCATTATCAGAAGATGTGACAAATAGTCTGCTTGGAAACGTCTCAGACAAATCCTCCTGGGCTTGGCCCTCCCCTGCCCTGGCATGGCCAGGCAGGACTCTCCACGCCGGCCTGCAGGGGCTGCAGAGCTCTGGAGCCCTGGGCTTCCACACTCTTAGGCCCAGCCACGCTGTGTGGCCACGGCACAGCTCTGCAACTATCTCTCCTACCAGACTGGGAGGTTCTTGAGGTCAGGAATGTGTCTCATTTACCAGCGTCTCCAGTGTCCAGAGCAGGGTGTGGCCCAAAACAGATGCTCAGCGAAGATCTGTTGATGGATCAACATTATTCTCTGCCATCCTTGAAACTGCCCAACTTCCGACTTCCACGGCCGGACCCCAAGGGCAGCCTGGGAAGTGGGTCACCTGCTGACACAGCGGGATGCAGAGAAAGGAGCCCTGGGCTGGGATTTAGATAGCAGGGTCACCGTGTGACCATGGGTCAGTCCTCACCCTTCTGTGTGCCTCTGGCTCCCTCACTGACCTGGCAGTGTCCCCCAGCCCCTTCAGGCTTTGTACTGTTGGTTGAACTTCTGCCGGCGGACACAGCAACAGGTGGCCAGCATGGTGAGCAGCACAGCAGAAACCAGCGTGAAGGTGAGGATGATGACGAGGTTGACGTTCTTGAGCCCCCCTTTCTCACAGTCCTCAGGACGCACGTGGCTCAAGGACACCTTCTCCTGGGAGCCGAGGTGACAGACCAGGTCCTGGGTGGCATCCACGTCCACACGGCCCCGGTGCAGCTGGGCGGCCAGCCAGCCATTGCCGCAGCAGCTCAGCGGATTCCCCCGCAGGTAGAGGCGCCGGAGGCTGGTCTCCAGGCCGCCCATGGCGCTGCCTGGCAGGAGGCTGAAGCTGTTGTTCCGCAGGTCCAGCACCTCCAGTGACACGGCCTGCGTCCAGGCAGGCAGGTGGCTGAGGCGGTTCTGGGCGAGGTTGAGCCGCTTGAGGCAGCGGAAGCAGGGCAGGTCCACCTGCAGCACCACCAGCCCGTTGCCCTGCAGCGCCAGCACCTCCAAGGAGGCCTCCAGGCCTGCCAAGGCGCCTGTGGCCACGTCCAGTCCCGGGTTGGCAGAGAGGTCCAGCTCAGTGAGTGGCGTGTGGAGGAAGGCCCCGGCCCCGAGAACCTCCATCTCATTGTCCACCAGGTTCAGGATGCGGAGGGAGGAGATGCCAGAGAAGGCCACACAGCCTGAGGGCCCAGGCTCCCCCGGCCCCCCGCAGGGGCTGACCCGGTTCCCCTGCAGGTTGAGCCTCTGCAGGCTGCTCAGGCTGGCAAAGGTGTAGGGGGGCAGGTCCCGCAGGGCGTTGTCCTGGAGGAGCAGTGTCTGCAGGGACCCCAGGGCCCTGGCACTCAGTTCCAGTGCCTCCAGCGCATTGTGGCTTAAGTCCAGGAGCACCAGGCAGGGCAGGGAGCCCGAGCGCCGGGCCTCGAAGGCCCGCAAGCAGTTTCGGCTGAGGTTCAGGAAGCGCAGGGAGGTCAGGTGCTCAAGAAAGCCGTCGGGGATGAGCTCGATCTCGTTGTAGCTCAAATCCAGATTCAAGAGCTGGGAGAGGGGATGGGCGCTGGCGTTCCAGCTGGGGTTTGCCGGGGGCGAGGCTGACCAGCCCTCGGAGGGCGCGTGGACGCCCTCGCCGCCCTGGGGCGGCCCCGCAGGGAGACGGATGAGGTTGTTGGACACGTTCAGGTAGATGAGCCTCGGGAGCGCGGCCAGGTCGGGGAAGTGGAGCAGTTTGTTCTCCCGCAGGTCCAGCCAGGCGAGCTGGTACTCGGCCTGGGGCTCGGGGGCCGTCTGAAAGGCCTCGATGCTGTTGCAGCTCAGGTCGAGCACCCGCAGCTGCTGCAGGCTGAAGTCGGAGATGCAGGTGAGGGAATTCCTGGAGAGATTGAGGTGGGCCAGGCGGGGCAGGGCCTCGAAGGCCCCGTCCTCGATGTCCATCAGCACGTTGCTGTGCAGGTCGAGCCGCTCCAGGGCGGGCATGCCGCGGAACGTGTGGCGGCTGAGGCGCGTCAGGCTGTTCTCTGCCAGCGACAGGCTGTGCAGGCCGGGCGCCTCCCCCAGCAGCCGCTCCAGCAGGCCGCTGTACAGGCTGTTCCCCGACAGGTCCAGGGAGGACACGTGCGGCAGGGGACCCAGACCGCCGGCACTCAGTGCAGTGCCCACTGCCAGGCGGTTGTGAGCCAGGCTGAGGTGCTCCAGGTGGGGCAGGGCCTGGAAGACGCCCGGCTGCAGGAAGCTGATCTCGTTGGTGCTCAGGTCCAGGTGACGAAGTGCTGTGTAGAAGCCCAGGGGCGAGGCCAGGACACTCTGCAGCTGGTTTCCAGATAGATCAAGGGTCTCAGTGTCCAGCGGCAGGACCGAGGGGACCTGGAGCAGGCCCAGGCCCTGGCACCAGACCTCCTTGTCCACCTGCGGGAACGTGGAAGAGAGCAGTGGCGTGAATGGATGCAGAAGGGGATGGAAACAGACACCCTTCTCTGGGAAGGATTACTAGCCAGGCCTGGGCAGCCTCCTCCTCTGGACTCCCAGAATGCTCGACTTCCTCCACCGCAGCCTAATCACCCCTGTCTGGATGGCCCATCCTACTCCCTGCCCCGTCTCTGGCACCCAGCACGGTGCTGGGCACAAGGAAGGGACTCAGTGCAGGTTCCATGGGTAGACAGATGAGAGAGGATAGACAGATCCAAGCACAAATGCACTAACAAAGAGAAACCCTGTGCTGATTATTATCCCATTTCACAGGAAACTGAGCCATATGTCACCCAAGCTCGGTCCCCGGGCTCCTTGCTCCACATCCTGGGTCCCTGCTATGGGCACAGATAGTTACATTTCCAGTGTTAGAAGGGAATCCACTTTGGGGGAATGTTTCCAAGAGGGAAAACTATAATTTCTGCTCCCGTTATCACTTTTCATCTTGGCCTTTCGCCCCAGATCTCATTCAAGCTCTCATTCCACGGGCACAGCTGGGCCCGGAGCCTGCCCTCCTCACGGCGCTCCCAGATGTGGCCTCCTTTCTGCTGCTGCTGCCCGCGCCCTGTAGGCGGTGGCTTGCTTCCATGGCCGGTCCAGCACCAGGTCCCTGGAGGCAGGGCAGGGGGCAGGGGAAAAGATGGCCAGGGCCCAACCCATGGTGTTTGGTGACAGGACTGTGCTCATGCTGTGTAACCTCCATCAAGTCACATTACCACTCTGGTTTCTAATCCAGACAGTAACTCATCCTTCCCCAGCACCCACGTGACATTTTACATTTTGTGTAATACTCTCAGGCCTGTGGGCTCATTGGTCCTCACAGCCGCCCACCTGTCTGGTGTGGTCACCCTACTGACAGAAACCCAGCTGGGGAGGAGCAGGGCTGGGATTTGAACCCAGGTCTTTTAACAACCAAAGGCCCCACTCTTGTCTTTCCACAGAATGTGCCCTCTGGGGCCAGAATTCTTTTTGTGCAAATGCGGGTCTCCCTTCATCTCTTCCAACGCCCCAGGAACCTCAGCCCTTCCCAGCAAAGGGTTTGACTTCCTCAACCACCCAGCTCAGGCCCCTCCTGCCCCCGGCCTCTGTCTCCACCGACCCCTTCCGTCCCATCCATCCACCAAATGCCTGGCAACTGTCAAAAGCTCTGCTCTGTGCACCTCTGCTTAAAGCCCTCCCCGGCAAAGCCCGGGAGCCTCAGCAGGGGTGTTCAAGGCTGTGGCCTTTGCCAACCTGTCCCCTCACCTCCCAGCCCATCCCAATTCAGCCCACATGCAGTGACCACACCTGACCACGGCCCACCAGGGCCTCCCCTCAACCCCCGCCGGGCCTCCTGTCTGTGCCGGTTGTGCCACCCTGACCTGATCCTCGTGGTGAGCCCTTCACGCTGCGCTCCCGGCTGCGCTCCCTCTCTCATGGCTTTGCCGCCCTGAACTGTGACTGTGTGGGGACCTGCCAGACGGTGTGCTCAGAGCAAACAGAGACTGTTTGGGGGACATGGATACCCTGGACCTGACCCACAGAAGGTGCTCAGTAATTTTTTCTAATGAACAAGATCCACAGACGTCATCAGTTTAGCAAAGGCCCGAGGCATTAATCAATCCCCTCTCAAGAGGAAAGAAAACGGAAGGTCCACATATTTGGATTAGAGCCAAAGACTGTTAGAGCAAACAGACTGCAGCCCACCCACTTCCCAGACGGGGAGACTGAGGCCTGAAGATGGCAGTGACTTGCACGAGGTCACAGTGGCTGAGCTGGCAGAGAAGAAACACGAGCCTGGATGTTCCTGGCTTGGCTCAGCTCTGTGCTTCCTCTCGAGAGCCCCGAGGCAAGGGGGGTGAGGAACAGCTGCCTGTTGCAGACACCCGTGTGACTCTTCCTACTCAAGGCAGCACAGTGACCGGCCCTACAAGCTCCAGGGGAGGCAGCGTCCTCAAGGCCCAGACCCAGGGGCACCCCACAGTTGGGCACCCGTGGAAACCAGAAACCCGCCCTGGCTGCCCGGCCAGTCCTTGCCTCTGCCTCCCTCATAGCCTCCCTGCCTGCGGGGCCACTAAGCACAGCCTCCCCTGCACCACCAGCGCCCTGGGCGTTTCTGACTTAAAGAAGAAACAACAACATGAACACCATGACCACCACTGTTGGGGACACCAGCTCCGTGTCAGGCTTCAGGGTGCAGAGACCCCTCATTTAATCCTCCAGGCATTGTGGCCCTGTTCCTACTGTACCCCCTAAGGAAACTGAGGCTTAGGCCACCCCAAATCAGATAGCTGGGGGCTCAAAACTACCCCTTTTCCTATTGGTGCATGCCGAGTTCTGACCACTGGGCCCTCAGCTGGCCAAGCCCCAGGCCGATACCCTCAGCACAGTGAATAACACCAGGCACTGTTTACGGAGCCTTTACAGTGTGGGGGGCACAGGGTGGTGCTTCACGTGCTACCCCACGTGCAAACCAAAGGCATAACACCTGTGGATCGGCAAAGCCTCCCTGGGGCCCCAGCCCCTGAGAGTTGAGCCAGGACACCACAATGGCCAAGCCCAGAGCCCAAGACTTGCTTTCTACCCAGGTGCCCAGGACCCTTGCTCTAGAGGCCGGGCAGCAGCTGGTGGGCAGGGTTGCACTGGGACAGCCGGCTCTCCCGTCTGTCCAGGAAGGAGCCTGAGGCCAGGGCGGTGCTCAGCGCTCCATTCCTAGGGCCCCCACATCTCAGAGTCCCCAGCATCACCTGATTTGCAGAGGGAGGGATCTTAGAGGAATTGGCCCTTGTCCCCTGAGTTTAGAGCTTCCACCCACTGTCTCTGGGATTTCAGGATACCGCTGCCCAGCTCCCTTTGTGGGAGGAAAGAGGACTTGCCATCCAGCTCCATTTTCCCATATGCACGTGGGAGGGAAACGGGAGGAGAGGCGCCAGGCAGTGGACAGCATAATGGACAGCCGCCTCGAATCCAGGGTCTGTCACCTCCTATCTGTAGGCCCTGGTGGGTCACATGTCTTCTCTCCAGCTCCTGAGTGTATTATCTTTCATGCTGGTTCAGAAAGTGCTTTCCTGTCTATCATCTCATTTCCCCAGCATCCAAAGCTCGCCCCACTTCCTCTGTGCCTACTGGTGGCCAAGGCCCTTCATCTCTGAGCCTCAGTCTCCCCAGAGTAGACTGTGCATCTGTATTTGGGGACGTCTGAGGCCTCCTCTGCCCATTATTCTGGTCCTGGGAATCTTGAGGCTCTGAGAGTGGTGGCAACAGCCAGCATTTGCACCCATGGGCAGGGGGCTGCCAGCACTTCCGGCCTCCTGAAGCAGCTGCCCGTTCTATGTCATAGGCTCTGAGTCCCAGGTCCAAGTGGGGCTGCTAGAGGACCTGTCCTTTCCCCTGCCAGGCTCTGGCCTTGGTCTCAGTGACTGCCCAGCCTTACCAATGGACCTAGGTGGTGTCTTTCTCCTGTACCTCGCAGGGTCACAGGAACGTTAGGGGTAGACTTTCCCTGTCTTGGGCCAGAAAAAAGGAACAAAAAGCAAATCAAATCTAGCTTTTCCCCTAGAGAAGATCTTGGTCTGGCAGGTGAGACTGGCTTGAGTCCTTTCACCAACCATGCGCTTAGTGTGCTTGGTATTAAGACAGAAGGACTCTAGGGGACTGCAGGAGCCCAGAGGAGAGAGCAACTAGACTAGGTTAGCCTGGGAAGGTCAGGGGAGGCTTCCTGGAGGAGGTAGCATCTGACCTGCACAGTAATAAGTGAGAGGCATCCCAGCAGGTAGTCCCAGATCGAGGAGTCCAGTTAGGGAAGGGAATTTGTCCCCAGGAGAGACCAGCACAGAGAAGTCCCTCCCAGCTGGCCCATCCCCAATCCCCCACACATATACACATTCTAGATCCCCCAGCTGGGCCACTGCCCTATGGGGATAGCTTGGAGGAATAAACTCCAGTGTCAGCCCCACTGTTCCTAGCTGAATGACCTTGGACAAGTCACCTAAACTCTCCAAGCCTCAGTTACAGGCTTTGTAAAATGGGAATAATGGAGCTTACCTGGCAGGAATTTTTGGTAAACAAGGCATTAAACATTCTAGTGGGTGCTCACTAAATGCAAAATATATCCCCTTTCCTCTCCTGACTCTTCTAACTCTGGCTTCTGGGGCTGGGGCAGTAGGACACCCTAGGGTGGGAAGGTGGGGCGCCCCCTACCCTGCCTGGGCATCTTACCATCTTACAGGGCACCTTGTCTCGGTGTTGGGAGGCAGCCAGGCCTGGGGTCAGCACGGCCAGGAGCAGCAGGATCTGGTGGCACATGGCTCTGTGTAGGGAGAGGAGGAAAGGGGAACACCGTGAGGCCACTGGCTCCCACCCTGTCTGGGCTGCCCCTGGGGGGCCCCAGACCACAGCTGGTGCTGGAACAAAGGTGCCATGAACAGGGAAGGGAGCAGGTGGGAAATGGGGCCATAGGCTGTCACAGAGGGCCCCTGACACCAGGCCGAGGAGCAGGACCGTCACCCAGCGGAAGCAGGAGTTTTAAAGCAGTGGGTGACTTGGTCAGATATGGGTTTTTGAAAGCCCTCACCTGGCAGCAGACAGCTTGGAGGGGTGTGCAGGAGGCAAAGGGACACTGAGCGCTGCCCTGGGCCACTCTCAGGGCCTGGGGGTGGGTGGGACAGAGGCGGGTGGGCCCCGGACTCCATTCCCACCCAGGCCATAAGCAGGTCCTCCCATCCCAGCTCCTTCGCCCGCGTGGAATTTCTCATTCTCTGCCCCTCCCCCCACTCTTCTTTTGCCCTTTTCCTTTTGATTCTCTGATTCTCCGGCCCTTGCCATTGTTCACGGGCTGGGCCCGGGCCCTGACAGGAAGCCGCACAGGAGGCTGCCCTGCCCCGGCGCTGGCTGCGGACTTCCCCAGGAGCCGGCCAGGCCCTGCACTTTCACTGAGGCCACGCTCCACTCTGTCAACAGCCAGGGGCGGCAGGAGGGGACCACACAGGCCCTGGGCAGCGCTGAATCCCGAGTGTCTGGGGGTTCGCTCACTCCCTCACTGAGGACAGGAGCCAAGTGCAAGGGCTATACAAAGCCAGCCATCAGTATCATTCATTCATTCATTCATTCATTCATATCTACTAAATGCCTCACCATGTTTGGCTCTGTGTTGGGAACACGGGCACAAAAACATGCGGAGAAATGACGATAGCATGGACAGAGACTATTAACAAGGAAGGACATATAAAGCCCTCCAAGAGCACTGGACTCAGAGCCACCCACATCTCACTGTTCCCTCCCGTCTCCTCTGCTTACTACTGTGTGAACTTGTACAAGCCACTTCACCTCTCTGAGCCTCGGTTTCCTCATCTGAGGTTAGTGACAGCCACCCCAAGTTTTGTTGAGGACCAAATGAGATATATTCTATGAAAATGCCACCTACAGAGCCCTCATTATGCACTAGGCACTCTGCTCAACATTTACAAGTATTAGCTCATTTAATCCTAACAATAATTCCCTGGCTTGGTTCCATTGTCACTGTTCCCATTTTACAGAAGGGAAAACTGAGGCTCAGAGAGGTTAAGTAATATGCCCAAGGTCACACAGCTAACAAGTGGCAAGCCCAGGCAAGTCTGGCCCCTGGGTCTGTGTCCTTAACCTCTACACCGTAAGGTCTCCCACAGTGAGAGTTCAGGAAATGAGTGCTGAGCTGGGACTCTGGAGGATGCTTTAGGAGAGAAGGCCCCCTCAAAGGGTTTTCACTTGACTCTGAGTAGGCTAGCTTTCAAACGGGCTTCTGTCTTCGAGTGCAATGCATTTTAAATTCAGATGGCAGCTCTGAGGTCCTTTCAAAGACCACGGTGTACCTGTTAACCCAAATTCCCTGGTTCCCCTCAGGGCCACAGGCCTGTCCCCACCTCCGCTCTGCTCTCACCTGGATCACAGGTTGCACGTTCACAGGAAATTTGGTTTTGCTGTTTGAAAAACAGAACGTCAGCACCCGTTTGAAAGCTAGCCTACTCAGAGTGGAGTGAAAGCCCTTCCAGGGGGCCTTCCAGGGCACCGGGGAGTGTGAGGCCGGCCAGCTCTGCTCCCAACCTCCCGTCTCCCTGGCCCCTCTCACACTCTGGGTTCTGGAGGCCTCACGTGTCCTCTGGCTCCCTGCTCCAAACCATCATGTCCTCTCCTGCTGAATACCTCCTCATCTTTCAGGTCTCAGCTTAGACGTCACCTCCTCCAAGAAGCCCTCTTTGGTTCCCCAAGTCTGGACTCCAGTCCTCCCAGAGCCCCCAAGCTCCTCCCAGAGCACAGCGCCAAGCACTCATGGTTGGTTTACCCGAACCCCTCCGGGGTGTGCCCCTAGAGCAGAGGGGACTCACTCTCCTCTGAGACCCATCTTATAGCACATGACAAGCCAGGGGTGGCACAGACAATTGACACTACGAGTCTTGGTGACACAGTGGCCCTGGCGAGAGCTGTTCTCCTGGACTTTCCTCTCACCTGCCACATTCCTTCCCCCCTTCAGCGGGTTCTGACTGCTTTCCCCAAACAACGGGCCCCAGATGCGCCCACCTGCCCCCACCATCACTGAGCCGCCACCCCAGCCCTGGCCCTTGACCGCAGTGACGGCCGCCTCAGTCGTTTGCTTCCTTGCTTCCAACCGACCCCTTGTAATCTGTCCTTTACACAGCGGCCAGAGTGCAATCTGAAAGTGACCCTCAGGTCACGAACCTCTACTGTTTGAAAGTCTTTGATAAACTCCAAGCCTTACACAAGCTCCTCTCTAACTCCATCGACCATTTTCCCTCCCCTCACCAAGTTCCAGCTTTCTCACTTTTCCTAAAACACAGCAGGTTCAATCCTGCCTCGGGGCCTTTGCCCCTGCTGTTCTCTCTGCCAGGAATGCTCTTCCTGCTCCTCACATGTTTTGTTGTTTTCCTCACATTTATCATTTCCTGATCTTCTGTTTCTTATTCTTTTTTTTTTTTTTTTTTTTGAGACAGAGTCTCACTCCATTGGCCTGAGTAGAGTGCGGTGGCGTCAGCCTAGCTCACAGCAACCTCAAACTCCTGGGCTCAGGCGAGCCTCCTGCCTCAGCCTCCTGAGTAGCTGAGACTACAGGTGCGTGCCATCATGCCTGGTTAATTTTTCTATTTTTAATAGAGATGGGTCTCGCTCTTGCTCAGGCTGGTCTCCAACTCCTGAGCTCGAGCAATCCTCCCGCCTCGGCCTCCCAGAGTGCTAGGATTACAGGTGTGAGCCACCACGCCTGGACCTTCTATTTCTTATTCTATGGGAACAGCAGCCTACTGAGCACGTGCTCACTAAAGATCTAGTGAGCAAGTGGGAAGTGAGGGCAGAGGCTGCCGTGGACTGAGTGGCATTGCGAGTAGAGGACAAGGACGGGTCCTGGCTCAGTGCTGAGCCTGAAGGCAGAGATGCCAAAGGGGCCCTTATTTCCTCCTCTTCTACCAAACCCCACCCTACCCCCAAGGCCATGTGCACATCCAGGAAGGACCATCCCTGCAGCAGAAGGGAACTCTGTCCTGGCATCTGACGGGAGGGAAGGGGCCCCTCAGCTGTGGGTACTCCTCAGTGGTGCCCAGGACACAGTATGTAGCATATATGGGTGACTCTCTCTCAAAAGGGAGGACTGGGGTCACTCACTGAGGCCCAGTCTCAAATCCAAATTCCACCGCTCACCAGCCCCGCTCTCCGGGGCTCCCCTAACCTCTCCGTGCCTCAGTGTCCCACCTGTAAGGCAAGCAGCCTGGTTCCCACCTGCCACTAGCCACCCCCAGCCATTGCAATGATCAAGCAGAGAATGGCTGTGAAGGTGCCCTGGATACTTGCTGTCCTTCCTTCCCAGCTGGGACAGCGACCCACAGGGCTGAGCATCCCAGATGAGCTGTGCTGAGTGGGAGGCGCCCGGCCCGCAGACCAGTGGCCTAGGCAAGGGGAGGCAGCAGACATCTCAGGACTCTGAAAGAGTGTGTGTGTGTGTGTGTTGTGTGTGTGTGTGTGTGTGTGTGTGTGTGTGAGAGAGAGAGAGAGAGAGAGAGAGAGAGAGATGGGGGTGGGGGCCAATGACGCCTATCAAAATAAGCCCATCCCAACTATTTAAGGATGTTAGACATTCCTCTAAGCACTTGACCCATATCATCTCATTTAATTCTCACAACCACCCATTGATGCAATTTCTGTTTAATTCCGATTTTACAGATAAGAAAACTGAGGTTCTGAAAGGTGAGGTGACTTATTCCCAGAGTTCCTCAGCTCCCAGGTGTCCTGGAGCTGGGATTTACCCAGGTCTACGTGCTCTTGTTTTCTCCAGCACACGCTAAGCTGACTGCCTCCTATAGAACTGTCCCCATTTTGCCCGTGAGGAAAAGGAGGCTCGGAGAGGTGACTTACCCAAAGTCACACAGGCAGCAAATAGCAGAGTCCTGGACAGAATCTAGTCCATCTGCCTCCAAAGCAAATGTTTCCACCACGCCAGGCCAAGATCCCCTCGCTAGCCCGGCCAGCGACCCCTCACACACAGGCACGGAGCAGAGCAGACCGGCTCCCGGCTGGGCTCCGGGGTCCTCCCTCTCCCTCCGCTCAGCCTGCATCTGACTTACTGGCAGAGCGGGGTCCTGGGAGAGCTGCCGCGGACGTTCCTGCTGAGCAGTGAATCACTGAGGGCAAGCCCGGTTCTGGAGACATGTGCATCCCACGGGGGAATTAGACCTTAGCCCAAAGGAATGTGGCTGTGATGGCGGAATTTCAGGCAGCCCGGGGTGGGGGTGGGGGTCCCTCACGTCTTGCCACCCAGGAAGAAGGCTGGCTTCAGAGCCCCTTGGAGAGCCGTCGGTGCCCCCGCCCGCACCGCGAGAGACGGGCAGGCTGTGTAGCGCGGGGGTCGGGCAGCCCCACGCCGGGCCGGACCGGAGGGTTGCAGGAAACCTGAATTCAAATCCCGGTCTGCCCAGCTGTCAGATGGGAACGCCGGCCTCACCCCTTCGCGGGAAAGATCCGCGGAGACAGGAGCCTCGGAAACGTCTCGGGGGCAGAGGGAGGATGAGCCCGTGTGCAGGCGCGAAGTGGGGCGGTGGGACGCGAGTGCCGGGGGAGGGGTCCCTACAGACCGGTCCGGCCGGCGCCGCGCCCCTGCTCCCGCCCGCGCGGACGGGACGGTGGGCGCCCCAGGGGCCGCCAGCCTCGCCCGCGGGCGGCTCCTACCTGGTCAGCGCGGCCGCAGCTCCTGTCCCGGGCAGCCTCGGCGCATTTTGCGCAGCCCTGCCCCGCGCGCCCGCGCCACGCCAGCCCCCGGGTCGCGGCCCGAGGAGGCGCACGGGCGTTCCGCTGCCCCGCGGGAGCCGGCCGCTCGCCCCGATTTAAACACCTCGCCGCCCGCCCACCACGCCCCCTGGGAACGCCGCGGGGTCCTAGCGCCCGTCACGCGTGACTCGGTTTATCCGGAACCGGGGGGCGCGGGTGAAGCATCTTCGTCACGCTGAACCTCGGCAGGGAAGGGCAGGGGCGAAGGGGGCGGGATGAAGGGCCGGCAGGGAGAGGCCCTGCGGGTGGCAGCCGCACGTGCTGTAGGAGCCCGCAGGGTCCGGAGAGGCGGGTGGCTCTGGGAGCTGCAGGTCCGCAGAGGAAATCCGGCCTGGCCCCAATCTCCCAGCTGCCGGCGCCGCCACACTTACATGGGGGCGAACAGGAGAGGTGCAGGCAGGGCTGAATGCGGAAGGAAATGACCCTTCACTGGCCCTGGGGCGGCCACGGAGGGGGTTCCCCGTACCACGGTCGTCCCCTCTGTTGGGTCCAGGCAGGTCAAGTCCAGTTCCCTCTGGGTTGTGCTCTGGTGGTTAGACCAGTCCTCCTCCATCATCTCCTGGACCCCTAACAGCCTGTGAAACAGCACCATCAAAGCCTCCAGTTTTCAGATGGAGAAACTGAGGCCACGGGTGGTGACAGTGAATATAAATAAAAACCAATTGTCTGAGACTAGTAAGGTCCCTGTTTATAGTTGGGGAAGCTGAGGCTCGGAAAGGTTAAGTGGTGTATCCAAAGTCACACAGTTTATAAGAGTCAGGGATTTGAGCCCAATCTGTCCCCAAAGATGAGTCAAGGCCAGTTTGGGCATCATCTTGCTCAAATTTTTTAAGTACTGTGCAAAAACGGGGAGGCAGTATTGTCTTTAACATCAGGAGTTGAAGCAGATCTTCCCTGAAGCAGCCTCTCTTCTAGATGCCTTGGCCCTACCACATCCCAGGTACTCTGCCCTGCCGGGTAGGGACTCCAGGACGGGGTGCCTGGGGGAGAGGGGTCATGGCTGTCCTCCAGGCTCTGGTTTTGAGGGTAGAAGTTTCCTCTTCCTTAATGTTTCTCTCCCCTGGTGGTCACTGGCCCTGAGAGTGGGGCAGGTCGCTCCATTTTACAGGCATGAAAGTGACCACCCAAGCCCTTGTGGCAAATCAGGGTAAAGCTAGGCTTAGAAGCTGGATTCCCTGAAGCCCATATAGTGGCTGCCTTTTCTTCCTCCCATCCAATCCACTGGGGAGACAAACCTGGACACATGGGGTTAACCCAGAGAAGATAAGCTGTGACAACAGGTAGCTCAGGGCCCTGATCTAGCCTCAGAGGAGAAAAGCAGGGAAGGTTTCCCTAAGGAGGAGGGCTGAGTTGCAATGAGGGGGTAGGTAGGAAGTGCAGGGAAGGGACCACTCAGCAGGGCCTGGGAAGGGTATCTGAACTTCCCCTTCCCTCTCATCCACCTGAGGCCTCAGATCCATGCCCACAAGAGGCCTAGCTGGTTCTCTCTGGGCTCTAGTACTCTATTTGGTCAAATGGAACCTTAGTGTTTCTGTCTATAAAGTGGGAAAGATATTAGGTACTTCCTGGGGTCAGTGCCGGAACTATGTATAATGGATCCAGGCTGGGGCCTGTACCCAGTGGGTGTTAGGTAACTTTTCACTGCCTTTATTGTGGGGATTGGTGAATACTTCTGCTATACCCCATAGGCTTCCTTTACTAGGTCCTTGGTAAGGGGCCAAATGTCCAAGAAAGTGCTTCGCAGCCCCCCTGCAGTGAGAGCTGAGCAGAGAGCATGGCTGAAGGAGATTCAGGCAGTTCCTGGCCTCGCCTGTCCCACCTGCTCCCTGCCATCCAGGCCCAGGCTGGCTGAGTGCTGCTTCTTCCTTCCCGGAGCTGCCACCAAGCAGAAAGCACTGGGCTGGGGCAGGGCAGGGCTGGGGCGGGGTGGGCAGAGGGTGAGTGGCCCATGTCCCACACACCCCTAGAGGCTATGGTTGTGGTTAGTTAGTTTATGGGGTTCCACCTTACTCATTGCCCGGATGGGGCTACCCGAGAGTTGGAGACAGATGGGCAACCAAGCCTGCCCACCTGCTGCAGATGCCTCTGGGGACCAGGGGCTAAAAGCCAGCAGCCCCACACACTCAGTGCCCCTTCCTTCATCTCTTTACTTCTTCAGCAGTCATGGCAGGCATGCTGTTGTGTCACTTTTGGCAGGTTGCTTGATCATTCTCATTTCAGTTTGCTAATCTGCAAAGTGAGACTATTAATAGCACCCAACGTATGGAGATCACACATAATGTGTGTAAAGTACCCGGTCATGAGGCCCGGCCCTTGTTACTTGCTGGGTAAACATGACCTCCCTTCCCTGGTGAATACAAATGTCCAACACCAGCCCTTGTGGAGCTCCCTGACCCGATGGGAGGCAGATGAGAACACAGAGGATGACTGATGTCCAGAGGTCCTGAAAGCCAAGTCCAGGAGGCTGAGCTCGCAGAAGATGGGTATGTGGGAACTGAGCAGGCTCGGATTGGCCTGGCAGCATGTGGAGGGTGCTTTCTTTTAAAGGCCACCAAGGTCCGCTTTCCATCTGGTATTGCTCAGTTCCCGCTCGCACGCCTCCAGCCATGGGGAGTCCCACTGGACCACCCATCAGCCAGCAGCTCAGACTGCACAGTGGAGCTTGCTGTGGAAATGGTCCATTCTCCCATGCGTCTGTCAGTGGCCATAGGAGACACATCTTTCCCTGTGTCCTCAGGGCTAGCGTCTGAGACGACAAACCCTCCCAGGCCCTGAGTCAGGCCCAGGGCTCCCTGAATGAGTTTTTCCTCAGACCAGGTTGAAATCTGAGGGTCCTACATAGGAGCTGGTGGCCCAGAAAGGCAGTGATGTGCACATCCTGTGTGACCTTGGGCAAGTCCTTAAACCTCTCTGAGCCTTGTTGTCCTCATCTAACGGTAGAACCAGAGTGAGAATGACCATGACATCCTAGACCCCCAATTTATTTTCCACTGCTCTTTGCAGAACACCCACTGTGGGCCAGACCTTCATCTCATGTGGCAAATCAGAATAAAGACAGTCATAGACAGCCTTCTAACTAGGTGTCTTTATCCTCCATTACTGAGTAGGAAATTAAGGCTCAGAAAGGTTAAGTAACTGGCCAAAGTCACACAGCTTTGGAGCCAGAAATCGAACCCAGGTCTCCTAACTCCCAAGCCAGATCTCAGTGTGAAGATGTGGCTGCCTTCACTCCCTGCCCCTGCCCGGCACCCACACGGACCCCTGAGAGTCAGGGGGTTCCCCCTGCTCGGGCCCTGCCTTCTAGGGAAGAACTCTGGGTTCCCCAGTTCTTCCCCAGCCACCCACCCTTTGTCCCTATGGCAAAAGGGCCCAGACCGTACCAGCTATGGGCCGCTCCCTGGAGGGACAGTAGGGTGCTATAAAAGGCCGGGTGCTATGTCTCTTGCTGTAGGGAATGGCCGATCTGCTTAATGGGAACAGTGAGGGCTTGCTGGACCAGGCCTGTGCCAGGCCCTGCACTTATCGCCTTCCCTCGGCCATGCGCGCAGGGGAGGACTGTCCTTGCCCCCTTTTGCGGAAGAGAGGCCGAGGCACAGAGCGGCTCCGTGACTTGCCGGCCGTCATACAGGTGACAGGGCAGGGCACAGCAGGCACTCCCATCCAAGTCCTCGGGATCGGAGGCCCTCACACGTGGCCGGGGACCGACTTGGCTGGTTCGCAGTTCCCACTGGGGCCCCACGTCACCCCTCCACCGTGGCACTTAGAGTTGCCACGGCAGGAGGAGCAACTGCTGGCGAGGCCCCAGGTTCCCCTCGGCCGCACGGGCGGCTCCCGGCTCCGAGCCCATCAGTGACTGCTGGGGCTGAAGGGTCTGGAGGCCCCCAGAGGCCCCGAGGGAGTGTTCGGTGAGAGAACTCGAGACTGGGCGAACCAGGCAGGGCAGGATCAGAAGTGTCACCAGGGCTCGCCTCTGCGCTGAGCCGCGGACCGTGAAACCGCAGCGTTCTGCAGCTCCTCAGCTGCTGGGAACCTGAGGGCTCGTCCCGTTGAGCCATGCAGCCTTTTCTTCCCCTTTAGTCATTTGAAAGTTAAACCTGGTGAACCCTTTTCTTGATGACCCAGGGTTTATCAGTATGGCTTTCGGCTATGGTCTGTGAGGTTGCAAAGTACCGTCTCCAGCGTACCAACAAGAGCGACAGAGCCCAGCCCAGGGTGAGGCGGCTGCAAACCTGCCTGCGAGCCCCTGAAGCCAGCATTAGTGGGAACAGGGCGCTGGCACAGGCGCCGCCAGGCGGCCGTGGGACTGTCCTGCCGCAAGGGAGCTGCACAACCCCGGGGCCAGCCACGGCCCCCTCGCCGCCGCAGTTTCCTCATCTGTGATACGGAGGCAGGCATCCTGCCAGCTTCAGGGGGCCTTGAGGAGATGGGGAGGCTGCGGAGAGCTGAGTGGCGCAAAAGCCGTCTTCCGCACGCCAGGGTCTGTGGCTCTGCGGTTGACTGAAGGGGCCTGTTGGCAAATGAAGGCCCAATGACCAGTTAGTCCTGGGAGGCTTGGCCTGGGACGGGAGCTGAGTCAGGGAGACCCTAGCACTGTGGGCGCTGGGGGCCCAGGACAGAGGTCCCCGACCCCGGACGGGTCCCTCAGGCAGGGCCCGCTCCTGTGAGGGAAGGGCTGGGCCCAGGCAGCCCTCCTGCGGGGACGGACCTGCCTCCAACATTCCCCGCAGGGCCCCTCCCAACTTCAGACCAGGATTTCAGGTTCCTCCCTGGGCTGAGCTCCCAGTGGGCCTTAGGCTCCTGTCTTCCCCAGAGTGGTCAAGGCCCCAAGTCCGGCA